AGCTTACAGGGAATTTCTGGTGCTTACCATCCACCTAGTGAGGGCTGAAACCCGTGCTTGTCAGATGTCGAATGACCAACTGGTAACTATCCTCCTTCGTGTGGGGGTGACGGGGAAGGTAAGCTGGGTCTCCTTGGAACTGAACTGTCTCCAAGGTGACATGTTTGGCAAAGGAATCTTAGGATCAAACCAGCCCTCTGTGGCGGTCTCAGTAATAATAATAATAATAATAATAATCCTTGCATTTGATATAGCGCTTTTCACCTCAGGAGGATGTCCCAAAGTGCTTCACAGAATATACTGTAAAGTGAATTGACTGTATATTTGTGGGCGAACGCGGCAGCCAATTGCGCACAGCAATGTCCCACAAACAGTCGTGGATTGAAAATGACCAATTTATTATTGTTTTTTTTTTTGGAGGGATATTATTAGGCGTGTGGAGTAAGGAAACTTGCCCAAGGTTTCGCCCTGCCGGGAATTGAACTCAGGTCTCTCGCTTGCAAAGCGAGTGCTCTAACCACTGAGCTACAGGACTCCACAAAGCAATTCCCTACCCCCCACTACCCACTCCCCCCCTCCCCGAAGATAAACAAAAATACGATTGAACCTATCGCTCGCGCTCTCTCTCTCTCGCTCTCTCTCGCTCTTTCTCTCTCGCCTCCCTCCATTTGAGCGAAGAGGAGAGGTAAGGGCTGACATGTCTTGAGTGTGAGCGTGTGCTAATCACTTGCTGTAGTGGATGAGAATGTGCTTAGCCACATCGCTGTGGCTGAGGTCTGTTATCCAAGTTTCTCTCTCTCTCTCTCTCTCTCTCTCTCTCTCTCTCTCTCTCTCTCACTCTCTCTCGTAATATTAAGATTGTGGGGTTTATTTTAAAAAAAAGTAATCGATAAAAATATGGCACGGAATGAGGAATCAAAGCGTTCAAAGGTTCAGGATGAATATAATATCCTTTTGTGCTTCTACCCGGAGTTGCTCTGAATCCTTCAGGCAATTGACCACCTCAGGACTGTCCAAGAAACCGTCTTCAATTACGTGTCTCTTCTCTGCGGAAGTGCTGAGTGGAGGCTAGACCAACCCCCCCCCCCACTGCCTCCCACCCCACTCCCCGCTGCCAGAGTGGGGCAGGAATGATGAGACCCCCCAGCTAACCTCCTGAATGCTTGGTGGGGACTTAGAACATCTCTGGTAGGATCTCTGGCTAGAGTTCTGCCTGAGGCTGGAGGGAGCGGGGATTTGGGGAGGGGGAAAGGGAGGAGGATGAGTGGAGAGATTGGGGTGGGGGGAAATGAGAAGGGAAAAGAAGGGGAAATTATTCGATCTTGCGGTCTATACTTTAGACTCATTATTCCAGACACCCAGATTTAGGTTGTATCCTCAGTTCGACTGCAGAGGTCATGAGGGCCCACAAGACAAAAACGGTCTGAGGACTGGGAAAAGTGGGGAAGGGAGACAGTCACACTGCACACTAGGGTTGAACTGGCTTTGAGGAAACCTGCCTGAGTAAAGGCAGCTCAACTGTAATCTATGGCATTGCTTGATGGTTGGTTGTCCAGCCTGGGTGGTTCATTAACGAGAGGTCCTGAGTTCTGTGAGTCAAGGCCATAACAGCACAGGTTATAATAACTCTAGGGGGTCATGGACTGCGAAGGGCGCAGCTTGCATTGAAGAGCCACGAGGTTCTCTCAAGATCACTGACTCACCCAGTGGCAATGGGGACTATGTGGCTTGAATTGCAGCGATAGCTGTAAAAAAAAACATAATAGCCCTAAAAATGCCCAATAGTTTTATTTAGATGGCATGAAGTGCTGATAGAGGATTGTGAGGGTGGGCGGTGGGGGGTGGGGAGAGTGTGAGGGAAATACCCTAACAAAATGCTGTCATGTTCCTGACAATAAGGTCTACACTAGCGTCCGAAGCAAACCTGACCACATCCAATTGAGAAAACTCAGGGAAGTGACCATGTTCCACATTATCAAGGTTGAAAACCGAGGCAGAGAAAACAAGAATTTGGCAAACTGAGGTTCAAAAAGAAAAAAGATCTGGCAAGTTGCCCCCACCCACCCCCCCCATGAGAGTAAAGTGCAGAGCTTTGGATGGATGAAAGTTAACGATTGAACAAAAAGCTTCCATATGGCCAATCTCTGCAGATCAACCAAGCATGAAGGAAGCTTCTGACTGATACAGCCAAATGGGGCCTCTAAACCACTTCACCTCCTATCTGTGCAGGGCGTTAGATCACGGAAGAGTCATTGCAGTTGAACCTGCCAGTGGTTTGTTCGAGTGCCATATTAGAGCCAACGCTGGTACTTCTATAAGCTCTGAGATCTTCCTTCTGCCCAGCACAAACCAACCAGAAACACAGTCTGGATCAACATCCCGTGTAACTGATTGCACCATGGAAAGCTTTGACTCGTGGAGGTCGAGTATGTCATGGAGTACAGGCCACACAGCTGTGGGTTTTTCTAACCGCTACATGGTCACAAACATGGAGTATATTCTCTCGGAGGGTCCCTTTGCTGCAAAGCATTTTGATGATCACGGTCAATGGGATGCAGACCATGGAGGCCAGAGCCAGGCTCCAGCCTGAGTCAGGTGGGTCCGCAGTAGAGTCAGAACCTTTAATCGTGGGAATCTGGCAATGCTAGGCATAGATTCTGACCAAGATGTTTTGCCGTTGATGTGATTTCAATGTAATGTCTTTTGTTGTTCCCACTGTATCACATATCCATCCAGCTCTTTAATTGTAACTTGCTCATATAGAACAGCAGTGATCTCCAGTGACTGACCTCATCTGCATCAATTACTATATCACTTGCTATACCTGTGTGCATGAAGCTATATATTTTACACAAAATTATACTTTATATGTGATGATTGAACTGAAAATGTAGAAATTATAAATCTTTTTGTACTCCTCCCCCTAATCTATATATCTTTGTTGTTGTAAATGAGCTATAATTCATCAACAGATTCTGCAAAACTGTTCAGAACTGTACAACTAAGACTGCCTGATTCATATTCTACACTTTTTTTAATATTAAAATCCACCTTCAAATCTTTTGCAATCAGACAAGAAAAAAAATTTAATTTCTTTGACGAGAGGGAGAGGTGACCATAGGAGCAGTCAAAGTGATAGATCTTACGGTGCGCCTTGGGTCGTCCTCCCGACGTGAAAGGCACTCTATAAATGTAATTTTGTTGTTGTTGTTGTTAAGGTGGGATCATAACAAATCATAACAAAACGTAGCAAAGTTCTGACTGAAAAAATGATCTATGTTACTTAGGGATCAGATTTTTAAAATTAATTTTATTTTGCAATTTATAGTCAAATGTAATGAAGAAATTCAGGCACAACATGAAAGTTGGGACTTTCGGTTTGTGAATATCACTTTTCAACCTAGAGAATCTGGAGACAAATTATAACAGATTATATAACAAATACAAAAAGCTATTTGGTAAATAAATTCATTGAGGGGTTTTAGAGATAGAGCAGTGAACTTTTTTTAACTTTGGGGTTGACCAGATGGAATGTAAAGGCCTATTCCGATTGTGTATTTTCCAATGCAATAAGGATTAAAATATATTTAGTAACAATTCTGCTTGTGACCACTGGAGGGCCCTCTTATTACACTTGGAAATAAAAACGAATGTGCACGGACAGTCTGTAAACTGTAAATGTCACTGAAATTGTCAGAAACATGATGAGGTATTCAGAATAATAAAAAGGGAAGAAGCATATCCTTGTCACACTTTTTGGATATCAATCTAATGGGAAGTGAAGAACAGCAAGAGAACTGAGATTGAACCCAACAGTTTGTTTTACTAACTATAGATGAATGTTCAGTTTTAAACGTTTTATTTGTAATGTTGAACTGTTAACCCCAATTTCTGTAGAATCATATCCAACCCCTGCATAAAATCATGAGTAATAATAATAATGATCCTTGTAATTTATGTCGCGCCTTACGCATTGTCAAGATGTCACAAAACACTTCAAAAGACTTTACTGTGAAGTGTATTTGTAGGCAAATGAGGCAGCTAATTTGTGCACAGCAATGTTCTTAAATAGCTGTTAAGTGAATGACCAATATTCCATCAAGACATAAAGTATTATGTGTTACTCTGGCTCCATTGGTAGCACTCTTGCCTCTGATGTCAGAAAGTTGTAGGTTGAAACCCAATTCATTATCTAAATTGACATTCCAATGCAATGCTGAGAGTGTGCTGCATTGTTGGAGGTGTTGTCCTTTAGGTGAGATATTAAATTGATGTCCCGTCTGCCTATTCATATGGTTGTTAAAGATCCCATGGCACTATTTGAAAAGAGAAGGGAGTTTCTCTCCGTTGTTCTGGCCCAACAATCCTCTAAATAAAATTGGATATTCACTTCATGGCTCTTTGTTGTGGGCAAGTTGGCTGCTGTGTTTGCCCACAAAACAGATAGTCATTGGACTTTACAATAAATCCCGTGAAGTACTTTGGGATGTCCTACTGCGTGAAAGGTGCAATCCCAATGTAAGGATTATTATTATTGTTATTAAGATAGTGTGAATGTACAGACTGTACTTGGCTTCCAGTGCAGACCAACTGGCTTCTCACACAGAAGAAAGTCTGCATTCAGTGGATTTTGTGAAAAAATAACAATCCCCCAACTGTGAAAGATACTATATTCAGATGTAGGGAATATTATGATTTATTATTATTTTACTTTTTGTATTTATTCAATTCCTTTTAAATGTTCAATTGCATCAACTTTGCTCTCTCTACAACCTACCCTTTCTCAGGCTTCACTTCAACCACTCTACCTCCTGAGGAAAAGTACTGCGAAAGAGACATTTTGAACCTCAAAGTCAATTGAACAAAACCTGTAGAATATTCATCCATCTCCACATGGCCACTATCCACATCATAAGCATGATTGTACCTATCCAGATCAAGCAGAAAATGATGTAAATTTACATGACATATGTGGAGAGAAAGTTGATTATGGTAGCCAGTATTTGTATTTGCAGATTTTGACCCTTCCAAACATCATTACTTTCTCTTCACAATTAATACTTTTATCCATGCACCAAACAATACAATTTACATTTATGTAATGTCTTTCACATCAGCAGGATAACTCAAAGTGTTTTATACTGCTGCCTAGGTACTAAAGCAAGCCGGGTGATAGGAGCTAAAGACGATGGGGGGGAGGTAGGGGGAAGATGACTGAAAGCGCAGTCAAAGAGGTAAGTCTTGAGACAGGTATAACATGATATTTTCTTTTGCCAGATCAATGAAACAAGCAATAAAAAAAATCTTTGTTTATCTGCTTCATTTTTGTCTTCCAAATGAATCCGAATTTCATTTTTTTTATGTTTCATCCAGGAGTTGGATGTATGATACAGTACAGAACAATCAATTTGCTCCATTCTGTGCCTCAGTAATAATAATCCTTGCATTTGATATAGCGCTTTTCACGTCTTCTAGATGTCTCAAAGCGCTTCACAGAATATACTGTAAAGCTCTGATAAATAATAAATAAATTACACTTGTGTTGGATGTTCCTTTCACATCAGGAGGATGTCTTGAAGTGCATCACATGATTTACTACAAGTGTATTTTTTAGGCAAATATGTAATTGTAATATGTAAATGCATTGTTAAACATACTGTTGACCTTACCTCTTAAGTAACATGCATTGTTAGTCATGCTCTCCTACAAATTACAGTAACTACGCTTTTCAGTAAATTATATGAAGTGGTTTGCTACTTCCTCCTGTCATAAAAGGCACCGTTTTAGATGCAAGGATTGTTATTGTTATGTTCCATACCTCAACCTCATGAACTCGTATAGTCCAGGTTGACACTCCAATGAGGTGCTGGAGGTGGGGGTGTTTTATTGTTGGAGTTGCCAACAGATGAAATGTTAAACCGAGATCCCATCTGTCTGTTCAGGTGGACGTTGAAGATCCAATGGCATTACTTGAAAAGAAAGGGAATTTCTCTCAGTTTCCTGGCCAACAATCTCCCATATAAAATTGGTCGCTCACTTCATAAATGTTTGTCGGATACTGCTGAGTGCAATTATGCCTCTTTGCACTATTAAACATGCCTAAACATGTTTTGCCTACGAATACACAGTGACTGAACTTCAAAATAAATCCTGTGATGTGCTTTGAAATGTCCTTCCAATATAAAAGCTGCAATAGCAAATGCAAAGATAATTATTATTATTTTATGAAACACCACAAATCTAAAATACCATCCAATGTATCAATTGGCTACAATTGACTTTCTGCATAATGTCCAGTTTATCATAAATAATGCATAGAATAGATCATTTAGAATTGACAGATTTTCAGGTATTAATTGAAAAAAGTATTATCAAAATATAATGTCTGACTTACCCTCCTTGTATCTTCCATCACAGTTTGATCGGCATCCACAGCACAGTAGAGAGGATGGAAGACTTAATTTATCAGCAAGCAACAACCTATTAAAAGTGCAAGCCATAAATCAGAAAGAATTAGCACAACAGAAAAGGGATATCCCTCGATGGCTTTAAATAAACATGTCAATGTGATTGAGTGCAAGCGACACACAATAAGTGAGCCAATATTATGGCTGGCCATTCAGTACATATAGTTAGAGAGTCAATGATTGTTATCTTCCAAAGAAATGCTGCACAGCAATTGTTAAAAATGAGCAATTGCAGGGATCTGTGTTCTTATGATTGTATCCTGGTATGCCTAGGGTAAGTTCATATTACACACAGTAGGCTTGGGATGTCATGATAGGCACTGAGGCTGGATCTCATACCTGAAGTTGGAAGAAAAAATAACTCTCCCCACTCAAAACACAAATGAGGTAATATTTGTTCAATTACAATCATGCTGCTAGCTCAGTTTTATAGCATTTTTACTGCATAAAGGAGTCCTGTAGCTCAGTGGTTAGAGCACTCGCCTCGCAAGCGAGAGACCTGAGTTCAATTCCAGGCAGGGCGAAACCTTGGGCAAGTTTCCTTACTCCATACGCCTAATAATAATCCTTCCAAAACAAAAAACAATAATAAATTGGTCATTTTCAATCTACGACTGTTTGTGGGACATTGCTGTGCGCAATTGGCTGCCACGTTCGCCCACAAATATACAGTCAATTCTCTTTACAGTATATTCTGTGAAGCGCTTTGGGACATCTAGAAGATGTGAAAAGCGCTATATCAAATGCAAGGATTATTATTATTATTCTTATAGAGGAAAATACAATGAAATTTACATTTATACAGCACCTTTCATGTTGAGAGGATGTCTCAAAGGTCTTAACTTTATAGTGGATGACTTGCCAGCAAAACTCTACAAAATACAGTCACTACACTTTACATTATATGTGAAGTGCTTTGAGACGACCTCCTGATGTGAAGAAGCTATATCAATTGTTAGGGCAATTATTAAGTATTATTTAACTCTAAAAGAGAGCAATTTCAACAAGGTTTTCGAGTTGCTTCTACCTGGTTTTACCTCGAGTTAGTTTCATTTATAAAATGTTATTTGGACAACAAGTGCCAGGAACAGCACTGAGTTAGACAATTTTCACAAAGCTAGGGTTGAATTAGAATAGTATAAGAGAGTAAACAGTGATATGTTTTCCCACTGTTAGGTAAATCAGTAACAAGAGGATGTAAACTCATAAATGTGCACTGTTGAAGAGTTCACATCAGAGACTCACACTGTCACAATGTTTTATTCCCAGATTAATTTTCAGACAGCTGTTTCCCATCAACATTCCCATTACATACAATAGAGGGAGCTGGTGTATGTGCTTTTCCTGTCCATAGCAGTACCCTTCCTACTCTTGTGCAGTCCAGTGACCTGCCTAAAACCTAGGGATAAATAGAAATAAGACAGTTTAACAGAAAGGAGAAAGATTCCATCCACTGTTCATAATTCAGCTTTGCTTTACCATCACAGAAATAGTGTAATGTAATGTCCTTTTTAATATGGCAAGTACCAGCTTAGAGTAAAAAATATAATTACTTATTACACAGAATCTATAGCACCAAAACAAGCCATTTGGCCCAACTGGTCCATGTCAGTTTTTATATTCCATATGAGTATCCACCCCTTCTTATCCTCATCCCTAGCCTCTTTCTTTATATAACCATTGGCTTTCATCTTAAATGCTATCAATTCAGTCTTAATTTGGAAGTTTTTTAAGAAACGTGGATAATCATCTAACAAAATAAGACTGACTTGAGTAATGGTCTTAAATTTTACGATAGATTGGTTTTACCCACTGAGACTAGATGGAATTTTGGATCTATGTACAATCGTAATACTCAAACTGTTTTATTTTACAAAATAAAAAAGTAGAATAGCTGAGATATGGTTTGTTTGAACTGTGTGTGTTAAAACACTGACAGAGAGATTGTCAGAAATAGTTGCACACAAAATGATTGTCTCGAAATTCATCTGTCACTCGTCGCTTCTAAGTCTTGCAGTGCTCAATCTCCGCTCATGGAGGTTGAGGTCTTGAGTGAAAAATAAGTCAGTCTTTGTGGTAAGCAGACAGGTCATAGATTGGATATTCAGTTGTATTTGATCTGAAGTGACCCAAGTCCATCAAATGTAATGCCAGAACCATTGAAATCCTCTCACCCACTCTTCCTGCTGTCACTGTCAAAATTGTAGTCCTAAAATACTAACATATCTATAGTGTCACTAACTATGGTATGGTATTCTGTGACAAGCAACCTATGCTGAAGGCTTTAACACCTACCTCTCCCCCAAACACAACACAACCACAGAATGTCTATCCAGCAATCCGATTCAAGTTTCTCTTGCCCAGACTTCTTTCTCTTCCACTTTTCCTAATGCTGTCTTTTTTTGTCCTAATGAGTCTTTTTTTTATATCCATTATCTATTAAATATTGATATCAGCCTGGAACAGTTGGTAGCATGCTCCCCTCTAAATCAAATGGTTGTGGGTTCAAGACCACAGTTGGGACTTTAAGATCACAATCTTAAAGTCACATGATGACACCAGTGTCATGATAGAGGAACACTGCCTTGTTGGAAGTGCCATCGCTCTGGGATGCTCCGCTGTATGAGGAGCGCTACATAAATGCAAGTTACTGTTGCTGTTGCGATTGTTCAGATGGGATGTTAAACTGTGGTCTGCCTGTTCGGGTGGACGTTAAAGATCCAATGACACTATTCAAAAAGAGAAGGGAGTTTCTCACTGTATCCTGGCAAACAATCCCCCAAATAAATTCAATCATTTCCATGGCAGTTTGTGGGATATTATTTTGCCATGATCACTTACAAAACACATAGTCACTATACTTTACAGTGTATCCTGTGAAGCATTATGGGACGCCTTCCTGACGTGAAATGGCTATACCACATATAAGGATTATTTTTTCATTATTAATTTGGTGGACTACTGATTAGAATAATTTAACTCCATATTTATTGTAGCTCGGATTTTATTGTAAGGAGCTAGTTGATGGATTTTGTATGTGGAGCACCACTTTTATTATAACATTAGGGTCAAAATTGCTACTTGTGTTGTGTTAATACCTATGATTATTAACACATGGTTGAAAAAAGCAATCTGTCAATGTTTTAGTTTTCAACTGGTCTGAGGTTGTGATCCATCCTCTGCTCATGACTCTGTCAGAAGGTTGGGTTCAAATGAAGCCAGGTGCACTAATAGTCCATGTATCACAACATTGGAGTGTAGATACTGGCTTAAGTCAACATTAAAATCAGCCCTGTGAACTAACAGTCTGATATGTGGGACAGCCGTCATGGGGCTCAATAATTTAGTCTCAGTTGTGACAGCCACTGGCCAGCTAATGATTAAGATGCTGACTAATCCCTTTTTTCACTGATATTGTGTGTCAGCCTGGCTCAGTAGTAACATCTTGGCTCTGAGTGGCTCGATCGTAGCAATATTGCCTCTGAGTCAGAGGGCTGTGGATTCAAGCCCCTTGTTAGAACTTGGAATCACATAGTCTAAGCTGACCCTTCAGAGGCAGAGGCAGAGGCAGAGGGGGGTGTTGCATTGTCAGAGGTGCCATCCTTTGGTGATGATCCAAAGTCTAAGACTATGAAAAATGTCAGGCCCCAAGGAATCCTCAGAACTTCTCACAGATGATTTTTAAGTTTGATGAAAGCAGAATCTGCCCACTTAATCGGTAGATCAATATTTTTGTTTTGAACCCTGATCTCCAAATGAAAGCATTGTGATTTGATCTTGAACTGAAAGCATTCTCGTTAAGACCTTTCTTTTCAATATTGTTTTTAGTCTCAAACCACCCACCACATACCTACCTCAATTTGGGTTCCTAGTCAGCTCTGTGAAGCATTTTGAGATGTGAAAGATGGCATATAAATATTGCTTTTTGAGGCAGTCAAGAACTAGATTTAATATCACAATTTACTGGGCACTCTGGTGAAATAAGAGGAATGAAGCCAGAGAGCTCATCTTTCTTTACATCAAAATTCATCCTGTCTTATCCTGTCTCAGCACTGTAACCTTGTCAGGATTTCATTGTACTAAAAAGAATGTAATAAATTGTCAGTCATGGGAAGCGGCGATACTTTATGTCCACAGTTCATAGAAAATGAGGAATAAGAAAACAATCAAAATTACACACAGGAGTTTGAAAAAATATAATCAATGAGGAGGATAATGACAGAGAAACAAAAACATGTGAGACAGACAAGTGTACAGTTATTAGGATTGTTTGATTTACTTCACGTTATTTGAAATGCGGCATTGACATGAATGACAACAATAAATTGCAATTTTTCACAACATTCCAAAACAATTGATTCTAAGGCATTTTTGTCAAATTTGTTTCGCTAAAAGATCTGTTGTTTTAATTTGTTCTGTCAGCTATCCAAGCTGCTCTTTAACCTTCAAGAAATAATCAGAATAAATTGATATACTTAAGGTACCAGTTAATGAAGAATCTGGCTTATTCAATCAACTTTTCAGGTGATGTGTTATCAGCCTTTGGCAGGTTCATTATTATCTATGCACCTGGTGTATTTTGTGTAAACTTCTTTAATTTTTTTCCTCCTTGTATATATTCAATGTTTGACTGTCTAAGCATCGAATTCCACTTTCCTGAAAGTCCTGTCCATTGCATTTACTGACGGAAGCTGTAATCTGCATTGAAACAAGGTATTTTAATCTTTTCTTGTGAAAAAAATGTTATTAAATGTTCACTCCGCTTTTAAATGTACATTGTCATTTGTTTTAGACTCACCGCATGAACGAGTGTTCTGTGCTGGTAATGAAATAAATCAGGGTACAGGAATGAAATTCATCTGACTTATGACCGTCATCTAAGTTTGTGTAAATTCTCCAATTTATTCTAGTCGTGTGTGTATCTATATACGACGAGAATAAATTGGCTCAGCCTGGCTCAGTTGGTAGCACACTCGCCTCCAAGTCAGAAGGTTATTCAGGTGGACGTTAAAGATCCTATGGCACGACTCGAAAAGAGAAGGGAGTATCCCCCTATGTCCTGACCAACAAATCCTTCAAATAATATTGGTGATTCACTTTATGGCTTTTTGTGGGATATTGCTCGTGCAAATTTGCTGCCAACTTTGCCAACAAATACACAGTCACTCCAGTTCACAGTTGAAATCTGGTCAAAGTCTTCAAGATTCTATCAACACCATGATAAGGTGATATATCAATGTGGAAGAATAAAAAATAAATTTCATTGAAATAAGTTAGCCTGATATTCTTGACTTAAAGTTTAAAACTGCAAACCTCCGCAACTCCTCCTCTCCATACACACTATATATGTCATTTCAACAACATTAAATAAAATGAATTATCTTGCTTGCATGATGGCTCAGTTGGAAAAGTGGCTGCTGTGTTGTTGAGCCATTACAAGAAGACTTATATATTTGTCTAAAAGATAAATCATTGCATTTACGGGTCATTATACAGAGTGACTTTCTTTGTTGAACACACTATATTGTATGAATGTTTTTAAGTGTGACCCATCAGTGCCTAAATAAGTGGTGCAAAACATTGAGCCTGTGGGCCAAAACTGGCCCATCAAACAATGTAGATTGCTCACCCAAGGCACTCGTATTTGCACATTGAGAAACATTAGCCCAACTGACCCAATTGTTGAGCTAATCAGATTAGTTCTTCCCAAGGCAGCCTGTTTCTTTCAATACATTTACTAGCTGTGGCCAGCACAAATTATCCAAGCTTTGCCTCTACAATATCCTTTGACAGAATTGTTTCAGCAGTACTCTACATGATGATGTTAATGATAATAATAATAATAATAACAATAATAATAATCCTTGCATTTGATATTGTGTCTTATCACATCATTGAGACATCCCAAAATGTTTCATGGGCTATACTGAAAATAAATGGTATACAAGGAATGAAAAAAGTTTCCCCCCTGAGTCCCTCACAAACGCCCTCTGCTCCGTGGACCTTCTCTCCCTCTGGCCCTCCACCCGCATGATCTAGACGCAGCGGTCAAGTTGCTAAACAATCGCCTCTCCTCAACCTTTATTTCCCTTGTCCCCCTTAAAATCAGGTCCGTGCCCAAGTTTACCCATTCCCCTGGTACAACAGTCATCTCCACTGCCTCAAATCCCAAACCTGGTTTCTCGAGCGCAGATGACACAAAACTGGCCTCACGATTCATCGCCAACTGTGGCTTGAGGATCTTCAAACCTACCACTGCTCCCTCTCTTAAGCCCAAACCGCCTTCTATTCAGGGTTCATTCCTGAGGCCAAAACCAACCCCAAAATCCTGTTCTTCACTACTCACCATCTCCTTCACGATCCCTCTCAAGCACCTCAATCCTCACTTCAGATGCTAAGTGCAAAGAGGTCGTGACCTTCTTTATCTATAAGATAAATATCCTCCGCCTGGTTGCCTCCTCTCCCCCCCACCCCCGTCATTATCTACCAACCCACAACCTCATTCATCACCCTATCATGGCTCCTACCATGGCTTCTACCATGGCCCTCACTGTACACTCCTATTCCCCCAGCTCAGCCTCCTCCCTTTCCCCCAGCATCACCCATATGAAGCTCACCACCTGCTATCTCAACTCCCCTCCCCACCCAACTTCTGGTCACTCAACTCCCCCTCCTTTGCCCACAGCTGGCTGACATTCTCTTTCCTCAGGCTCTGTCCCACTCCTTCTCTAAACTGCTGCCATCACTCCTCTCCTTAAAAAATCTACCCTCGATCCCTCCAACCTCACAAAATTCAGACCCATCTCAAACCTGGCCTTCGTTGCAAATCAACTTTGCTTACACCTCTCCATTCACTCCCTACTCGAACCCCTCCAGTT